GTGTGTGTGTGTGTGTGTGTGTTGCATTCCCCTGCTCTTTGGTTGACATCTGCTTTGTCGGTTTTATGTCAAAGCATAAATTCACGGCCCGTAAATTTAGGGTCTGTTTGGGGCAGTTTATTTGGTGAGGTGGCATTTTGAAAAAAACACCTGGTCTGTTTAGGTTAACTGCATTTTGGCAGCTTTTGTGTTTTTAATGAGCTGAAAACAGTGTTTTCACACCGCACCTATCTAGGTGAAGTAGCAGCCAAAAAAAATAAAAATATGTAATAATCATCGCACCTAGCTTATCAGCAAATTATTCAACAAGCTACAACAGCCCCAAACAGATCCTTAATATCTCTTGAAACTCTCAAGAAAATTATTGCATTAGACATTAATCATTCAAGTAAAGGATTGTATGCATCCATAGCACTTGAAATATTATTATTTAAAAATCTAGCATTTCCTTTCAGCCATTTTTTCAAACTCTCACTCAAATATTAAAATTCATGATAAAACCCTACTCCGTGTTTCTCATTTTTATCAAATTCTTAACGGTTTGATCAAGTCAAGTGTAAATACACTGGTTTGACACATGTAAATATGTCGATTCGGCGGTTTAAAAATGTCCTTTATGTTCTGTTTGAGGCAGCTGCAACGTATTAAAAAACGACTGAATAATAATCTGATGTTTCAAAAGATACAGTGATTGTTACGATTTTTTTTTTAAGTCAAATCACGGCTAGAAATCCATCATCTCACCTTTCTAGGAGTTGTGGGAAAATACAGATTTCAATGACAGCTTTTTTAGGAAGCTACCAAAACGCAGCTTACCCAAACAAATTAAACTACCACGATCTCAAACATACCCTAATCCAAATCATATTACATAAATAATAAAATTTAGGAATAATTATATACACAAAATATTGATATTTATAAATAAATCACACAAATTGTGATTTTTTTTAAAATCAAACTCCATGAATTTTCGTGTGGGTCAATTTTCACATAAAATTTACTTCCTAAATAATATATATA